CTTGCAATCAGTGCCAAAGTGCCTAGACTGAGACGTCAAGCAAGGGGAGCAGAACATATGTGCTTCAGGCCTGCATGATGAGTGAGTCCCTGGGTGACACAAATGATTAACCACTCAACTACTAACTGAAAGATTAGCAGCTCAAGCCCAGCCAGAGGCACCTCAGAAGGAAGCACTGGTGATTATTAAAGGGCTTCAGCCTAGAGACCAAGTGGAGCTCAGAGTTCACCTGCAGCATCCTAGACTCCACGAGTCAGGGTCAGGTAGAACACACAAGTTTGATTGGTTTTACTGCCGTCTATATTGCTAAGCCCAGGTCAGAAAGGGTAAGTCACCAGTCTGGGGATGAAAGCAGTGGCTAGAGGGGCTCCTAGGATCCTCTCTCAAAAATTACAGAGAAGCTCTAGAAGACATAAATCCCAACAAGGTGTAGGGACTATTCCCTGTAGCAATGTGCCTCTATCAGACACAGAAGTCCTTCCCAATATCGAACCTAAAACGTAGACCACCACTCATCCTGATAAACATAACATGTGTCTGAGTCCCGCCTGACTGTTTTAAACAAAGAGGGAAGCATTGCCTGGGAGTGACCAAACAAGCTGATGTGCACGGGACTGTCCTGGAGTGAGCACTGGACGTCCTGTGTCTCTGGAGAGTCCCCAGATCCAGGCAAACCAAGACAGTCAGTGACCCTATGCTAAGTGTCAGCAGACTTGACAACATCTTAGAGCAACATCTCTCCACAGCCTCTTTGGACTTACCCCAAAACCCCCACACTATAACAGGTAGGAGGCAGGAGAGCTGTGTTTTTCCTCTTCTAACTGCACCCTGATGAAAAGTGGGGTTACTGAGGCCAAATATTCTCACACATAGGCCTCAGAGGAAGCCACCGCCTGAGCATTCTTCCTGTCCTGGGGAATCTTGGGAAGAAAGGAAGTCACACCCTGAGAGTGGCAGCCAAGAGCAGTAATTCTCCTCAGTCAACTGAACTGAAAGCTTTTCTTCAAGAAAAGTAGGTATTTTCCCAGGCTTCACGTCATGTTTTTTTCAGAGCTAGAATATAAACTACTTAACTGGGAAGGGAGGAGAGATAGCCAGAAACCAGCACCATCTCTGCATGTTCGCAAGCAGACCCTCAGCCCAGCAGTCCCCCGGCCCTTCTCTGGCCATTCTCAGGGCTCCCCACACACTCACCTGGGCCCCAGGACAGACTCCGCTCCCCAGGGATACAGAAGCAGCCACCCATGTGTGCACCATCCTCCTGGGGCTGAGGCCCTGAGAACACCAGCCAGAACAGTGTTGGGAGGGGACAGCCTCCCAACCGTGTCCCTCCTCCCGCCTCCTCCAGGCACAGGAGGACCAAGGCCCACTCTGTGCACAATGTGGCCTTTGATATGGAGCTGTAGCAGGAGCTGAGGGAGGATGGGAGGGGCCGCCCAGCCTGAAGGCCTAGAGTCCTTGCACTGTGGGCCTCCGCCTGGGCAGCCGCTCCTCCCTGTCTTTCTGTGGACTGCTTCATGCCTATCAGGCTGAGGCACATTCTTCGCATTCTAGGATTCAGATATACGGTCTGGTTCTCGTGGGGGCGGCCAGGATGGAGGAGGAGGGCAGAGAACATCCAGGAATCAAGGCTGCTGTTCTCCTCGGTCCCTGAGTGACCGGCCCACACAGACTCACCAACCACCCTGGAGAAAATGATCCTAGGCTTTCTCTGTAGGCACCTCCTTTTGGTGTCTGTTTGGTGCTGGAGCTGGGGGTGCAGCATCACACTTCAACTCCAGGAGCACCAATGAGACAACTCCTCATTGTAGAGGTCAGTCGTAAACTAAAGTATAAAAAAAATCATCCCTAGCAGCTGAGTCACAAGTCCAACTCATAGCAACTCTCCATTGGCTTTCTGAGGCTGCGAATGAATGTTCACCAAAAGAGACTGTTCATCTTTCTCCCATGAAGTACCCAGTAGATTTGAACCACTGACCTTATAGCTGGCAGCTAATGAGTTACACTCTAAGTCATCAGAACTGCTTCTTACATCAGAAGCAGCCCAGGAAATCATGTGAGGAAACTCAGGCATTTTACAGATGAGAGGATGGAGGGCCAAACAGGATAAGACCACAATTATGCATTAAAAAAAAAAAAAAACCCAAACCGTAGTCACACCAGACTAATGTATTTTCTATTTGGGGTAGACAAGGACAAGGGAATGCAGATGACACAGCATGGCTGGATTTCAGACATTCTGTCATGTGATCTCAGCAAGGAGATGAAGAAAATAAGGCTGAAAGCCAGTGAGATTGACCAGAGTAACAACCGTGCTCAGAGGTGTCTAGTTAATTACTTACTGTTTCCTGATGCCCCTGGAGTGAAGGTCCCTGGCAAAGAGAAGACATGTGAGCAGAGAGAAGACAGGATCCTGACAGACGTGGGCAGCAGGCTGCTTGGAGACTGAGATTGAGACTGAGACTGAGACTGAGACTGAGACTGAGACTGAGACTGAGACTGAGACTGAGACTGAGGCAGCTAGGTCAGGGAGGAAGTGGCCTGTTCAGATCTACGTTGTGGAAAAGTCCCTGGGAGGACAGTGTGGAGGATCACCTGGGGTCGGCCTCACTGGAATGGACAGAGTGTCCAGTTCAGCCTCAGTTACTATGCACTCTGAACAAAACAGCTGTCAAAGGAATATACAAATAGAAAAGGATGGCTTATGGCTTAAAAGGTCCTTCTGGGGAGCTCTGGTGGCCTAGTGGCAAGGAGCTGCAACTACAATCCCAGAGACGCACGGTTCGAATCCACCAGATGCTCTGCCAGGGAAGGAGGGACAATCTCCTCCTGTACCAGTCAGATGTGATTTGACGGTACACGCACACGAAAATAATAAAATTTAAAAAAAAAAAAAAGGTCCTTCTGTCTGCAATTTGGAAAATGGGCTATAACCAAGATTCCAGGTAGGAAGTATCTGATTTCCAGGAGAGAGATGATGCTAACTTTAATTATGAGTATATTGGTAGCAAGTCTTCTGTGAGGTACCTCTCCAAAATTATGGAGAGCAATAATGTCAATTTAAAGACTAAGGTGTGGTTGATTCAGGCCAAGATCTTCTCAATCACCTGCTGTGCATCAGGTAGCTGGATAATGAATTAAGGTCACAGAAAAACAATTGATGCCTTTGAGTTGTGGTGCTGGAGAAGAGTACTGACCATACCATGGACTGCAAAATAATAAAGAGATACGTTTTGGGGAAGGTACAGCCAGAGTGCTCTTTGGAGGCAAAGATGGTGAAGCTTCATCTTTCATACTTTGGACGTGTAGTTAGGTGAGACTGTTCCTTAGAAAGGGACACCAGTTAAAAATACACAAGGTCAGTGAAAGAGAGGAAGACCTCCAATGAAATGGATTGACATGGTGGATTCACCTATGAGATCAAGTACATCAGAGATGATGAGGCTGGTACAGGATAGAGCAAGGTTCACATCGGCTGTTCATGAGTCATACCCAACAGCACATAACAACAACAACAAATCCAGTTAGCAAGAAAAGCTTAGCTACTGGCCAAATTTTGAAAGAAGAACCATGAGGGTGTTCTAATGGATTGAACATATGAGGGGAGGAAGTTAAATGCTAAGAAGAGCCCAAGTAGCCCAATGTGTTATGTGTTGAGTTGTTGACTAAAAGGTTGGGGGATTCAAATCCCCTAGCTGCTCTGCAAACTTTCAAAACAATCCATTGTCATCAAGTCAGATCTGAGTCATGATTCACAGTGACCCTCCAGCAGGTTTCCGAAATGGAATTTTTCCAAGAGGAAACCACTAAAATTTTCCCCCACAGAGCAGCTGTGTATTTGAACTGCTGACCTTTCGTTAGCAGCCTGACTTGTTACACACTACAGCACCAGGGATCTGTTGTCCTCTGCCACATATGGTTTCTCTGTTGTTGTTATGACACTGTCTTACGGTGAACCTATGAATAGAATAGCAGATTGCAGCCCTGTTCTATCCTGTGCTGTCCTCACTGTCTCCTCCATGCTCACACCTGCTGCCAGAGTCATTATGTTGACCTCTCTTGTTGAGTCTTTCTCTTTTACGCTTACCTTCTACTTTTCCAAGCACAATGTCTTTCTCCTGGGCTCTCCAGCCAGCATTCCGCAAATCAGAAGCAATTTCACAATACCTAGCACTCTGTGGGATAAAAGTGGCCAATCGCCTCTCGTCTGATGTATTATCTCTGAAAACCCACTGAAGGGTCAGTTCCAACTCGATGGTACACAACAAACGATGACAACAGCAGGAGTGAATAGCAGGGAAGGAATAAAAAACTAGCAAAAAAGAGTGAGGGCTATTAGAAAGAGAGGAGAAATGTGTGGTGGCTTGGAAATCAGGTGGAGAAACTGTTTCAAGAGCATGAAGTAATCAATAGTGTCAAATACTGCTAATAAGTAAGATGCAGGCTGAGAATTTGCCCGGGGCATCTTGGTGGAGCAGTGGAGATAAAATCCTGACTGGAGAAGGTCCAAGAGCATATGGGGAAGGAACATTAAAAATCTAACCTGAATTTCCCCCATCACCACCACCAACATTACCATCATCATCAATTATTTGTTACAACTCTCTGTATTTGTTTGATCCAGCAATTCCAAACTCATGTCCACAAGAGCTAGGCAGTGATACAGATACACAGATCTGACTGAGTGACAAATGGAAGCTGACCCCGGTTCCAGGTCGGACAGCCACATCAGTGCACAGGTAGCGTTTAACGGGACACCTCCACAAGGCTTCAGGCATCACAGAGCCTGGTGGGGATATAATCCTCGTGCAATCAAACTCATTTTGCCATGAAAACTGGAAGTCCAGGTTTTCAGATAAAGTTTCCCAACTGGACAGTGACCCTCCAGCAGGTTTCCGAAATGGAATTTTTCCAAGAGGAAACCACTAAAATTTTCAAAATTTTAACATTTAAACCACTAAAATTCAATGTCCATGAATTTTAAAAATTCAATGCACTATGTAAGCCAATACATCAGGTCAAATATACCTGCAGTCCAAAGGCAGCCCAAGGGCTATATGTTTGCGATTTTAAGAAAGAAGTATGTTGTTGTTAGGTGCTGTTGAGTCAAATACAAGTCACAATGATCCTATGAACAACCTATCTGGACACTGTCCTATCCCCTGCCATCGTCACAATATCTGACACACTTAAGCCATTGCCACAGTCACCATGTCAACCCTGGTTGAGGGTTTTCCTCTTTTTTGCTACCCCTCCACCTTTCCAAGCATGATGATCTTCTCCAAGGAATAACTTCTCCTAATAGCATGCCCAAAAATATGTAAGACGAAGCTTCATCATCTTTGCCTCCAAGAAGCATTCTGGCTGTACTTTCTCCAAGACTAATTTGTTTATTGTTTTGGTAGTCAATGGGGTCTTCAGCATTCATCGCCCACACCACACTTCAAAGGCATTAGTTCTTCTTCCATCATTCTTATTCATTGTCCAGCTCTCAGCAGGGTAGCAAGTAACTGAAAAGACCATGGCCTGAATCAGGAGCAACTTTACCTGATTTCTGAGAAGTATAGTTGATTTCTTTTTTTTCCTCTTGGAAAATTTGCAGCCTGCTTGAGGAGATAGACTATACATTCAGGTACTATTGATCCAGAGAAAAACTGAGGAGATCTCATGAGACCTCACTGTATCATTTATGCAGTCACACTAGTTAATCAGCAAATAATTAGTGAGCACCTACTATATTTAAACTTTGGTCTAATTGTGAAGACAGAGTAGTGAATGAACAAGACAAATAAAAATATCCCCTCAAGTAGCTTACATTCCAATGAGGGAAGACAGAAACATAGTTAAGTAAATTATGTGTTAACAGTGGAAAGTGTTGTGTAAAACAAAGAAAACAAAATGTTGGAACTGCCAGGGTAGAGAGCTACAATCTTTGAAAGAGTGAAGAGAGAACCCTTCACTGACACGGCAACAACTGAGCAAATACTGAACAAACATGAGGGAAGAAGGGTCCATGGGTTTCTAGGAAAAGAGAAAGCCAGTGCAAAGGCCCTGTGGTAGCATGCTAGGAAAAGAACAGAAGAACAGGTAACTAGACCAGAGTGAGAAAAGCAAACTGAAATTATCAGGGAAATAGGAGCCCGAAGCGGAAGTTATCCTCAATGAACTGATTAAGAATTCAGTGAAGAGACTATTAACAAAAATGGTGGGTAAGGTTAATATAAACCAAGCAAGGAAGGTGAGGCACTCAGATGCAGCAGTCATTAGAAATCGTTATCATCTATAAATCTGAAGGCATAAGAAGATACAAAATTGCTAGAACCTATCAGAGCTGATGACAAGCAAAAACTGACTGAAAGGAACCGTATCTTTGATAAAGACTCAGTAGCCAGTCCTAGATGAGATTATGAATGGAACAGCACATCAGCAGAGAACTACCAGAAGTCCAGGCTGGGTTTAGAAGGGGGCTGATGTTAGATGGATCTTAGCTGAAAGTAGAGAATACCAGAGGAATGTCTATCTGTATTTCATTGACTGTGC